TGTCACACACAACTGTCCCCACGTGCGTGCACCAGTAATGGGTCCTCAGGCCCCACACGTCTGTGTGACTTCTCGACATAGAGGTCCCCACACACCCGTCTCCCCTTTTCTCTAATTTGCTGTAACAGCTCACAAAACTTGGAGAAACTTCGGGTTACGTTTACCGGTTTGTTATAAAACAAAGGCTATTCTGAGGGGACAGATGAGCAGCCAGGGAGACTGCCCAGGGCGGGTTCTGAGCACAGGGCCTGTGAAGTTGGGGTGCTCCCCAGCCCGAAGCTGCCCAAGCCCTCCGTGTGGGTTCTCATGGGGGGTTCGTTGCGCGGGCGTGAGGGACTCAGTCACGGGCCATCGGCTGTCGCCCCTCCAGCCCCCCCCGCCCTGGCCCAGGTCTGCAGGCAGGTGGGTGGGACTTCCTAGACTCCAGTCATGTCTTTGTATTTCCTGTCCCGGCTCCCAGCCCTCAGCTATTCAGGGGCCCCCACCCCCTCAGCCGCCTCATTCAGGTGCAGAAACATCCCTGCAGAGGTTCCCGGGTCGGGGAAGTTCTTGCGTCGGGACCAAGGACCAGGACCAGATATTGCAGCAGAGGCTGTGGCTGTCCGTCAGGGAAGTACAAGGGACTCAGGACCAGGCACTGGGCGAAGACGGGCGGGGTCTCTCCTCACAGTCACGGGACGAGAAGAGCCGAGCAGGAAGGAAGCATTCATTGCACTTCTCTCATTTCTCCATTTTTTGGTTGGAATCCTTCTGGAAGGAGCGACGGCCCCTCAGATCTCTGGCTGCTCTGAGGTTCAGTGTGTAAAGGACAGGCAGGAGAAAGCTCGGATTTATTTCCCCTTTATTTGCTAGTTTTCAAAATAAATTACCTGTGGTGACCAGCCAGGGTTTTTGGCTGGCTGGTTTTGAAGGCCATTGTGAGCTCCCGAGTCTGGTTCTGTGCTGCTTCCAGAGCTCTGCAGTGACTGTTCGGTTGGTCCTTCCCTCTGGCCAGGGGACCCTCCTCCGTGGGGTCTGGGTCCCTCACAGTTTGGTGCTCTCCCACGTGAGTGCCCGAGTGCGTGTTCTGGGGGGACTAGGTGGGAAGAGGGAAGCTCCTCCGCAGTCCTGGGTCCTGGTCAGTGATGTTGAAACGTGCCTCCGTGTGACGGCCGTCCCTCCTCCGCAGGTGTGGGCGGCCTGGCCAGCATGCCCCCGCTGCCGGCGGTCGCGCCAGTGCCAATGGGGACCCTCCCCGTGGTCGGGATGTCCCCCCCCCTCGTCTCCTCCGTCCCTCCAGCAGCAGTGCCTCCCCTGGCCAACGGGGCGCCCCCGGTCATGCAGCCGCTGCCTGCGTTCGCCCATCCTGGTAGGTGCCGCACGTTCTCGATAAACCTCTGTCTTCTTTCTGATTATATTCAAGTGGAGTTTTATTCCAGAGGAAAGTATTTTCATTTAATTTCTCATTGTTTTCAACATCTCAAATGGGAGGTGTGAGGCTGATTAAGGTATATATACTTGCTGAACTGAAGAAAAGGATGAAAAAGTTCCTAGTTTCATTTTGAAACTTTATCCAAAGCCTTTTTCCCTGTCATTGAAAGAAAGCTGGAGTATAAATGGAGACAGCCTAGTCTGACAAATGTTACTGAGGTCGTACCGACACGGAGCGTGTGCTTGTTAAAGGGTTTTGGATGTTCGAGTACATTCGGTGCTGATGACAGTTGGGCGTTCGCATTTGAACGTGATCCCTGCACTCAGCCCCAGTTTACCACATCTCTCAGGGTGTGTCTTTAAGTTACAGCCAAAGGATGTAAGTGAACCTCTTTTAAAGCTTTTTAAAATTTTTATATGTTTTTATTGATTTCAGAGAGAGGAAAGGAGAGGAAGCGAGAGAGAGAGAAACATCAATGATGAGAGAGAATCATTGATCAGCTGCCTCCTGCACACCCCACACTGGGGATTGAGCCCACAACCCGGGCCTGTGCCCTGACCGGGAATTAAACTGTGCCCTCCTGGTTCATAGGTCCACGCTTAACCACTGAGCCACACGGGCCGGGCTGAACCTCTTTTTAAAAAGATTTTCTTGTCACATGTGGTTCATCTGTCACATGTGACCGCGGCTGCAGACGTGCTGGCCGCGAGACAGCGCCTGCAGTGGTTCCAGGGATGCGGTGCCGGAGGCACCTCCTGTTTTCTTCTGTGGCTGCGGGCAAGGCCTGCAGGACGTTAGGCAAGGAGAGGGACTGTGCCCAGAGCTTTCCCTGACAGGCCCAGCAGCCGCAATGCAAATCAGCCGCCCCCTCTGCCCCCCCAGCGCCCCGCGGTACCTGGCCCTGGGACTTCTGTCTCCCCCACTCGGGACTCCCTTCAGCTCCTCAGCGCAGTGAGGAATGTGCCGTCCATATATTTAAGCTCTTCCTTCTCTGACTGTTGACAGATCTTATGAAATATGATACCAAGTGTTTGATGAAAGTAAAGTTTTGTGGGTGTACACGTTACTACTTCGGTGCCTTTCAGTGGGAACAAGTAAATCTAGAAACATTTGGCAAGAGGGTGGGAAGCAAGGCGGGAATAACGTTTTGAGTCCAGGATGGGGAAGGAAGGAGGAGTGATTTCTGCCTCAGACTTGATGGCTCTGCTTTTTCATTTTTGTAAGCAGGGGGGAAGGTTTCTTATCTGTGTGGAATTAAAATTATTCAACATTTATTTATTTTTACAGCAGCCACATTGCCAAAGAGTTCTTCTTTTAGTAGGTCTGGCCCAGGGTCCCAGCTGAACACTAAGTTACAGAAGGCGCCCTCACTCGACGTGGCGAGGTAAGTGCGACTGTTTTAAACGGGCAGTTTGGTTCAGGTATCACCTGATAACTCACAAATGAGAAAACGAGCGAGCTGTGTTCTTTATCGCCTTTCTTTTGTAGAACGGCAAAATGTTCTCACTTCTGGTTTTACATGTGTTTGTTTACAGCATCAAGGACGTGGCGTTTCCTTTAAAGGATGTTTTTTAAGAGGATGGGTAGTAGTAAATGTTTAAATCGAATCACATGCAACTCGAGGTGTCAGGGGAGAAAGCAAGTTAACTATTTTGTGTTTAGTCATGAAAAGTTTACAAATGTTTTATATGAAGATGAGAGCAATAATGGCCTTATTTTTAATTCCAGCTCAGATAACCTTATGTAGTCCTTGAGAATCAACAGAACCCTATTTAAGGTCGATTTTTATGAAATGGATTATTCAGATTAATGGACAGGTGCTGTCCACCAAGTATGTGCCTCAATTTTGGCAAAGCTTGCATGATTTCATTGCTTATATTTTGGCCAATCTTGGTTTCATGTCATCTTTCATACTTTAATTTTCTTTTACCGTTACTTCTCCCCGCGTGTGGCTGCACTGAGCTGGAAAATTAAGCTCGGCTGGTAAGCCATCTCAGAACCTCTGGAAGGACAAGGGAATGTAGTGAAGACGATCCATCTTTTCTGTCTCAATCCTCTTTAGAAATCTCCCCTAAGTGAATCAAGGCGTTTCCACTTTAAAAAGTGTGTTGGATATAATTCAAATGCATCACCTTTTAAAAAACGATTTAAAGAAAACTGTAAACTGAAAAGCACTGTGCCAAATGCTTTCTGTCCATTCCCTCATTTAATGCTCCCTCTCTCCCCCATAAAGTGACTCTTCCTGTCCCCGTGGTAAGATGAGGAAGAAGCTCAGAGACACTAAGAGACTTGCTCAAACTAGCATCTCCCTTCAGTGCCCGCGCTCGGGGTTGGACCGAGCTCTTGCTGATTTTAAGGCATGTCCTTACCTGTGGAAGTTTGCTCCCAAAACTTCAGTTACTAAAAGAAAACACACACACTCCGGTTACTGTGGTGACAGACATCTGTGTTCCACTTCACTGAGGTTCTACACTCAGACTCAGGAACCTTTGCTGAGCATCTCCTTATCAGACACCTCGTTAGCCCCGCCCCACCCGCCTCCTCCTGGGCAGGAAGCAGTGTCTCAGAATTGTGCCCAGGGAGATGGACCCAGAGAGGCCGCTGCTCACCCAGGGTCACAGCTGACCAGTGCACAGCGGAGGTGGACACTCGGGTCCTCACGCCCTGAACTCCACATCTTCTCCCTCCAGTGCCACGCCGGAGGCTCGGCCGCCTCTGCTCCCCGCTGGATGGTCAGTCTGTCCTGACGTTGATTTATGACATTAGAATGAATAAATAACCAGTATTCAGCAAACATTGGTGCTATGAAGACACTGTTTTTTTTAAGATAGTCATCTTTTCAGTCATTTAAACTTCTAGCAAATTCCTGTAATGTGGCCTCTAGCTTTTTGGCTACCTGTTGATGAATTTTTAGTCTGTTTACGTTCTCAGGAAGTTGGCAGGAAACTCTGCCTTGATAAGTGTAATCTGGGGCCCCTTCTGTGCGCAGCACCCGAGCCCGGGGTGCAGGGGGCAGATAACAGCCCTGACAGATATCAGGAGCTGGAGTCAGCAGCGAGGCGTTAGTGAAAATGAGGGAGCTGTTGCAGGAGTACGCGCAGCAGGCGAGGCGTTGGTAAGTGCTTCTGTTCAGGGTCGTTCACAAAAAGGGAAAAGGTGAGCTTGTGCAGGTGCTTCCCGTGCCCGGGCCAGTGCCTGCGTGTGAAGCGCTGCACTAGGTGTGAGTGCCCAGGTCCCGTCGCTACAGGATGCTCGCAGGTTCAGCTGATGGTTACAGTTCGCTTTTGCATGTGAGGAATAGGTGTTTCCGTGGCAATGAAAGGAAATGGCACAGGGCACTAGGCGTCGCCAGCCCTGGAACGCAACGCGCTGCTGCTGTCATTGTGTGTAAGTTACTGGCTCTTCACAGCCCCGGGGCCAGTGACGCTGTGGGCCCTGCTGCTGTCATTGTGTGTAAGTTACTGGCTCTTCACAGCCCGGGGCCAGCGACGCTGTGGGCCCTGCTCTCCGGGGCCTTGGCCGGGCTGTACTCCGAGCGGAGCCAGCTCCCGCTCCCGTCGCCACCACGGGTGCCAGGGCCCTGCTCTCCGCAGCCAAGGCCGGGCTGTACTCCGGGCTGGTGGAGCCAGCTCCCGCTCCCGCCACCACGGGTGCCAGGGCCCTGCGCCTGTGCTCCTTTCTGGGAAGGCCTCCATTTGTGGGAATTGAAACTTCCCGGAACAGAATGACTGTCTGCATTAAGAAATACATCCTGAGGGGAGGAAAAAAAAAAGGAGACATATATAATACTCTTTGTAATACTTTAAGCAATAAAACAATTTAAAAGAAAGAAAGAAATACATCCTGTGTGTTGGTGCGTAGAAGGTTGGACTTTTGGAGAATGAGTCTGTACAGGGAGGGGCTTGTCGGCGATCAGCACGGCTGTTTAAACCAGGAGAGAACGCTCTAGAAGCGTGAAAGCCTGGACATTGTCGGGTCATCTCAGTTCCGAGGGTCCATACCTGTGTGGGCCCTTGAGATGATTAAATCATGTATAAAAGCTGTGTTGCGCTTACCCTTGATTCTGGAAAAATCATACGCTTATTTGTATCTCTTATGAAAGAGACGCTCACGGCCTTAAAAGGTGGACAGACTCATTACAGAACATTCAGAAATTGTGGTTCAGAAGGGAGCAGAGGTCAAGCGGGTTTTCTAGAGACGGCTCGGTTGACCGACACTCCTGGGTGGTGCTGCTGCTCACGCCTCCCTCTCTCCCTCCCGCAGCGCCCCGCCGCTGGCCGAGTGGGCGGTGCCCCAGTCGTCCAGGCTCAAGTACCGCCAGCTGTTCAACAGCCACGACAAGACCATGAGCGGACACCTCACAGGTATTGCAGAGGAGAGAGCGTGGTGAGCGTGGGCTTTGTTCGGGAGGCACGCTGTTTCTAGCCG